AAAAAAAGTGTAACATGGTTTTGTCAATCATACAGCACATCTTCCCCAACAGACTGAGAAAGTCCCTGAACTCCACCTTCAAGTGCAACATTCAATATATCACTGGCTACTCTTCAGCCAGGCACTCTGCGATATGGCCTATTAATATAGGGGGGTTTGGTTTGGTGGGTTTGTTTGGTTGGGTTTTTACCTTCTTTCTTTCTTTCTCCAGCGCTCTCCACTGTTCACAACATTCTTCTAGGTGTTCATGAAGTTCGCTGGCAGGCCATCCACGAGTTTTAGCTTGCCTTTGAAATACAAATGCTGGTACAAAACCAGGAGAAGAACTGTCACCATACATCTTATCATTATAGTAAGCGTAGAACCGTTTTAAATCATTCTGAGAGAACAGGTTGTGGGGTTCCATCAGAGGGACAACCGGAAGGCCAGGCAGGTGAGCCGATCTCATGGGGAATGCGCTGGAACCAAGCTGCTGACTGTGATTACGTCTGAAGTCACCATGCACACCATAGCTGTAGAAGCCTGGAGCCGGTAGGCAAGTCACAGGTTTCACAGTGTTACTGCCTCCACTTCCACGCCTGAAATTAAACTGACCCTGAGACTCCATTTGATCTTGGAACATGTTCTGCAACAACTCATCTGCACGTTTTTGTCCTTCCAGATCACAATGCTCGCTCTGTGGCTTCAACTGGAAATGGTGTTTGTTCATGTTTTCAATGATCCCAAACTGCTGAGCTGAGTAATTGTCACAAAATCCACTTGGCTGCTTCAGTTTCTTTTCACTTAAATACTCCATGAGATTCTCTTCCTCACTCCTAACTAGTGCTTCCATGCAAGCAGCAGACCGAGCGTGTTCTGCAGTGTTATAACCAAAGTCAAGACTTGAAAAAAATGAAGGATTATCTTGATGGTACTTGTGAAGTATATTAGTATTTAAAGGGATATTTGAAGATAACTGAAAAAAGTCATTAGAATGGCTGGAACTTTTTGGAAAAGCAGGTAAATCATTCAGTTTCAAATGACTTGGATTCTGAAGTGGGACAGAAGCAGCGGTTTTAGTTGGAATGTTCATCCAGGCCGGCCTTATGTTAGTACCTGCTGAAGGGCTTGCCAAGTTTGGTAATAACGGAACCGATTTACAGTATTCGGAATTCTGAAGATCAGACTTTGAAAACTGCCGCTTTGCGATACTATTTGCAGAGTCACTATTCCCTGGACAAGTTGTAAGTGGTTTTAGCCCATATTCAAATTTTTGCCCAAAATCAACACAGAATGAAGCTTCATTGGCTTGTTTTTCTGATAGGAGTCCTACAGCCTTGGGAAACTGAAAGTTTTGTTGATCTGAAATTGTATCTTCTATTTTTTTCTGAGTACCTGATTTAACTTGAAATAATTTAGTATAGGGTTCTGTGTCCAGGGATGGTGCCTTGATGGTTTCATTTAGTAACTTATTATTTTCCTGAAGGCTACAATTGGTGGTCTTGTTAGGCTTTGCTTTACTTGCATGAGAATATTCAGTGTATCTACTATAATCTGCATTTTCATTATATCTGTGGGACGGCGGAAGAAGCATTTCTGCCTGCTTTTGGTGCAACTGCGCATCTGCTCCTTTGGGACACACCTTCTCCCTTCTGTAATAAGCATCAGCTCCTGAATCTTTGATTACTTTTGAATATGCAACTGGGGGTGCAAAGGTGTTCTTTGTGTATGGATAGTTCTGATATACAGGTGTTGTCTTAATGTTCTCATTAGTCTGCAGGTTGTAACGCTCGGCATGATCATTCCTAGAAGAGTACAAACACTGCTCTTCAAGGTCTATGCCAGTCAACCCACGGTAACATTCTTCTGCTTTTTGCTGCGATGCAAGATTACCACTTGGCAAGTACTGTTTTTCAGTAGCAGATAGGGATTCACCATTATAAAAACCCTGTTGTGAGACAGCTCTTTTCGTGTCTGGAAGCATGTCATGGTGGTCTACAATTCTGCTTGTATTCACTGGCCATAATGATTTCAAGTTGGAAGGGCAACTCCTTGAAAAACAAGAAATACAAAGTTAGATTCTTGTCGGTGCAGCTCTTCTTCTCACCCCAAATGCGGAAATGG